GTTAAAATTGTCTACAAAATGAAATGTCTATGAAATGAACTGTCTATAAAATGAACTGTCTGTAAATTAATTGTCTTATAAACTTGTCTATGAAGTGATTGTCTGTGAAATAAACTTCTACGAAGTAATACGGACCCCGTAAGTATGTACGTGAAATTGGTACTCATACCTTGATTGGTATAGGACCAAGTCCTAAGGTTTCAGAACTAAACAAGTTTTGATGGCAACTATACTCTTGCAAAGTATAAAAAGACATCAAATATCTCAAGTACTCAAATATCAATATCAATACGTACTGACATTTTTTCATTATGGCAAAATATTTGAGAATTTTAATATCTTTTGCAATCATCTCCTTCTTTCTAAACATGTTGAATGGCGCTATGTTAATAGAAAGGCGTTCTCAAGTAATTTTATTTTATGTATTTTATTTGAGTATTATTAACATTATTAACTATATGTTATTTATTTTTTTAGTCGGTAATTTTTTATTTTATTTATATGTATCGTTAGAGAAGTGTCAGATAGCAATTGATATTATATAAGGTTGGGAGTAAATATGCTGATGAAATAATCTAACCCTATTAATAATAATTGGTAAAATTGATTCTCCAGTGGAATGGAGGTAGACAAATCTCAAGTCTAAAAATATGACCAATCAGAGTATTTTCAATAAATAGGGGATAAGCTCTATAGTAAATTGATTTCAACTCATTATTAATTGTAGTTCTTTTTTAATTTCTAATTCATTGTCTTTAAATGTCATTAGAATTACTAATTAGAACCTTTCTCTTTTATTTATTAGCTCCACGATCGTAGCCGACAACTCGGAGTTGTTTGTGGTTCGATTAACTGTCCATGGGTAATTTTATTGATCTGTCATTTTTAGTACTGCTCACTTCACTTCATGTACAACTTAGTTTACAGACAATTTATTTATAATAAGATTATTTTACGAAAAATTAATTTCACAGATATGTTCTATTTATTTCATTGACAATTATTTTACTGACAGCTCTTTTCACAAATAATAATCATAGGTTAAGAATTAGAGTTTGAGCTAGACAATTCATAAAAAACTTGGCTGTTAGTAAAATAAACTATCTTAAAAATAAGCTATCGGCAAAATAAATTATCTATGAAATGAACTTGGTGAAATTAGTTGTTTATAAATAATATTTATCTGTGAATTAATTGTCTGTGGGACAAATTGTCTATGAAAAGATCAGTAAAATGATATATATCCGTTATTTTGAATATCTTTTAACATTATAAATTGTGTGTTATCTATTAATTTAGGCAAATCAAAATTGTTGTGGTGGCAAAACATGTTGTGATCCGGTAACTTATTTTATTAATCTGTTGGTTTTAAGCATTATTGGTATTATTAATATATGCTTTTTGCTTTGACCAGAATCAGCAATGTACTACTGGTAGGGCTATTAAAAGTCCGATCCTTTCGGTCCTGACTTTGTAAATAGGGACTTCGATTAGGACTCGGTCCTTGAGTCGAGTCCGT